CCAAGGCAGGCATGGTGGCTACTGATGGAAGCCCTCAGATTTCCTCAGTGGTGGCAAAAAAATACCATGATCACGGGCAGAAAAATACCATGATCACGGGCAGAACACAGGAGCCACTGGACAGAGGAGAGGTTCTTGGTGGGGTTGGGTGGGTGTGGGGGAGCCAGAAATTTGCTGTACACAAGTGCCGAGTTGAAAGCTATTTTCAAAATTACGGCTACTGTGTGTTAGACATGGTGCATAATTTATCTTTTTAATTCCTTCATCAGGTCAGGAGACAGCTATAACTTTCCCATTGTACAGATGAATACCTGAGGCTCAGAGATTCCAAGAAGTCCACGGTGACCTGACTGGAAAGTGGATGAGCTGAGACTGGAACTCAGGTCTAAGTGAGTCTTCCCCAGCAGGTGCCTCCCACTGTGGAAGCCGTGGAAGGGACCTCCCTCCTGAATGGGACTCTGGACAAGGTAGTGTCCCAAGGAGCAAGGTTCCCCAGCCCTGAATGGCGTGCCTTTTCTTGGCTGCCTTCCAGACATCTGTTCTTGCACCCCTGAGCCACTGACCGCCAGCCACCTTACTGGGGAGCCCTCTTGGTCATATGAGTACGGACAGCCCTCCGTGCCTGGGACACCACCACTCAAAGCAACTTGTTTCCCGACTTTTCCATCCTGGTACTCAGATCACAGCAGGCTGGGGAAGCGAGATGGAGGGTGCTGGCCATAATGACCTAAGGGCTGGGACACGCAGTCAAGCACTGTGGCAAGAGTGTGGTCCTGGGGGTAAGAAGATGCATACTTTGCCTCCTCCATCTGCGAGGAAGAACTTTTGGAGCAGGAGGTCTTTTGAGGCCCTGACATTGTCTGCTTGGCCCTTCATTAGGTGGCCCCAGTGGACTAGGCCATCCAGGGCATTGACCCCGGCCAGGCAGCCCCGGGAGACACCGTCCAGCAGATGTCCGTCTGTCATGGTGTGGTCGCGCTGCTGTAGCCAGTGGTGCATTCTAAGAATACGTGACGTGGAGAACCCTTTCCCTGGTGTGTTTTGGGCAAGCAACCCTACCAGGGTCCTGCAAAGAGCAGGGCCGTGGGTGTGCTGGCACAGGGCCACTGCAGGAGCAATGTGTACTCTGGGAAACTTCACAAACGTGGCTGGGCCATTCTTTTATAACATTTGATCTCTTCAAAGGATGGTGTTTAAAAAGTTTACACACTGATGTTTTCTGTTTCCTTTATTACCTCTCATGCTGATTCCTCCCCACCTCCACTATTACCTGCTCTGAATTGATACCTGATAATAATGATTTTGAATAACCCATTCTATGGTAATTCTTCACTTTCCTTAGTCAACTGACTTAGTCTAAGAGCAGGCCAGAATTTTGTCACAGCTGGGTCTTATTAAATACACCAGAATAACTGTATCTTTAATCTACCCACCCCTTGACACCCTGGGACTTGAAGACAGCCCTAGTGTGCTGCCCCCGCTCTCCCCACCAGAGCAGGCCTCAGAGCCCGGTCCTGCCCAGAGAGACCCTTGGATTTTTAATCAAGTCACCTAAAACCGACTGTGGACTCGCACCTCCACTACTTTCCACAGGATGCTGCTCAGTTTTTTTCTAAAATTTCAGACAGTTCCAGCCCCCAAGGGAGATCCTGGCCAAAGGGATGCCCCCATCCAGCTCCAGGTCACCTGGGGATGCCTGCTTGGAAGAGGCCATTGTGCTGCATCAGAGTTTGTCCTGTCCAGCTGGTGAAAGCCAGCACTTACAGGCCGGGCACTGAGGGGTGCTCTCATTCCGTCCTCACAGCAACACTATGAGGTTTCATCCCCATTTTACAAATGAGGAAACCACAGCACAGAGACATTACGTAACTAGTCCAATGCCACAGAGCCTGTAAATGAGAACCAGGTCTTGAAACAGGCCCCGATTGCAGAGCCTATGAGCTAAGAGGCTGTGGCACGCCACTTCGCCTCTGGTCCCAGCTCAGAGCCTCTCCATGAAGCCTCCCCTGAGCCCTCTGCCCCTCATCCCCTGCTCTGACTCTGAATAGCACCATCTTTCTGGACCAATTAGCAGAGTCTGTCATTTTATAGACTCTTGCTGCATTTTCAAGTTCTGTCTTAACTGGGTAAACGGATGACAATCTTGGGAGGGCAGGGGCCGGGGAGCTGCATCTGCAGGCCTTCTGGGGCCAGCACAGGGCCTGGCACACAGTAGGCGCTGCTTCTGTCCTTGCTGACTAGGCGTCACTCGCAATGGCCCCACTGGCTGCGGGGAAGGCCCCACCCATCCTCTCCTGGCTGCCCCCAGTGGAGGCTCACTTGGTCTGGCCAGTTCATCCCAGCATGGGCCCGGGGTTGGCTGACGCTCAGCCCCTCTCCTCTGCCTGGGTCTGCAAAGAGCTCACCGCCATGTTATTGGAAAGGCTTCCAAGAGCTGGAAGCCAGGTTCACTCAGAGGGTGCACCATGGGAGGAAGGGAGGAGGGTAGGGAGGGAGGGTGTAGGGAAGCGTCCCACAGCGGGGAGCCCAACAAGAGAAGGCAGGGAGGAGCGGGCAGTGGAGTAGAGACCCCACGGCTGGGTGTGCACCAGGCCAGCCAGGGGCCCACCGCGCAGGGTCCCGTCCTCCGGAGCACGCCTTCCTCTCCATCTTTGTGTTCACTCCGTTTGTTCCCCAACCTTCCTGGGGTCCAGTGTCACCTTGAAGAAACCCACCGGCCGGAAGGAACTCATCCCCACCTGCCCAAACATTAACCTGCGGTCTGTTTAGTGCAGCTTGTCCTTTCAAAAGCCCCTGGTTCTCCCTGCCATGCACCCCAACTGACAGTCCTCCCCAAGGTGCCCTCATTCTGGTCACTCACCCTCCTCTCACCTCACTGCCCCCACCACCCTGGGGCCAAGTCTGTGCCCAGGCCGCACAAGCAGGTACAGATGTCACTTGATGAAAGTGGTTCTAGGAGGTCCCCATTCCCACAGAAACCGCCTCCGCACTCCGCCCCGAGTTACTGTGCTTTAATCCTCACACCTGAAGTCCCCCCATTGGAAACTTAAGTCTCCTCTTTCAAAGACAGACACCCCTGAAGGGGGTAATGTGGTTGCCAGAGGCTTTGGTAGCTTCGTGTGGGTTAGTGTAATGGATTCGCTTTCTCCTAATAACTGGGTCAGATCATCAGAAACAGAGGATGGAGCGGGAGTCCTGAAGGGGTGCTAAGAGGCTGGGTGGGTGCGGTGATTCTGGAACACAGAATGATTCCTGGATCGGCAGGCTCCATGCAGGTGGAGGAATTTGAACAGTGAAAGAATAGCATGAAAGGACCAGGAAAAAAAGTTTTGCTGCCCTGCACAAGTATTGCTAAAAGGGAGTGATGCAAAACTAAGGGTTGGGGCTTCCCTGGTGGCGCAGTGGTTGAGAGTCCGCCTGCCAATGCAGGGGACACGGGTTCGTGCCCCGGTCTGGGAAGATCCCACATGCCACGGAGCGGCTGGGCCCGTGAGCCATGGCCGCTGAGCCTGCGCGTCTGGAGCCTGTGCTCCGCAACGGGAGAGGCCACAACAGTGAGAGGCTCGCGTACCGCAAAAAAACCCCGAAAAAAACCTAAGGGTTGAACATACACTCAGGGGGTCTTCATAACCTGGTTAGAACCCCAGAGTTTAGGCAGTCCATACTCAGAGTGGAATGTTCACCGAAAACACACACACAGACACCCCACACACCCTCTCCAACACAGAATCCAAAAGAAGATACAGCAATGCTCGGAAAACTGCCTCAAACATATTTCCTTCCAAGCTGCCAGCGGAGGAGGCCCCACAGATCAGTAGGAGGCAGATCAAGCCCGTTTCCTTTTATTGAAACTTCTCCCCTTCTAGAACTTCTCCTTCTCTGCAGGTCCAGGCCACAGAGACATTAATCCCCATTCAAATGAACCTTCAAGGTTCTTCCTTCATTAGAAAAAACACCTCTCAAAACACCCCCAAGCAGCGGCTCTAATGTCACCGAGTGTATGTTCACCAGGAAGGGAGGGAGGGAATGGCTCTGGGCCTCACCTGGCCTCGTGCTTGTTGGGAGGCAGATACGTGACTGCCCCCCACCCCGCCCTGCTTCCCCTCCCTCCAACAGCTTTAATAAACACTGATGATTTCAGTCCTTCAAGCACAGCTGTCCTGCAAGCTGTCCAGTCAGGGGTATGGGGTGGGAGCCAAGGGCTGGATCTCCAAATAAACCAGCCCTCCCTTTCCCGCCTCTGCCCGCCTCTACCCAGCAGGTGCGTGTTGAGGAGGAGGGCATGGTCTCTGGCTGAGACCAGGGATGACAGAAGAGTTTTCTGAGCCGCCTGCTGAGGCCACAGCCCCAGTGGGGGAGGGGGGAGGAGTAGAGCTTGCAGACAGGGTTAGAGGTGAGGCCGCCCTCCAGACATGCCATGAACTCAGGCCTCTCCACAACCCTCCATCCAAACCAAGGGGCCCTGAGACGGCACTTCCGGGGGCCTCAGGTTGCCTCTCTGGTTCGAATGTGTGGCACGTTATCGGAGGACAGAAATGGAGTGTTAGTCAATTCGTCACCTATAGGAGGTGTGTGGGAAGCGGCTAAATGGAGGAACGAACGAATGAATGTCTGACACTCTGGGCTACTCTTAGAAACAGCAGTAGAGGAAGGGGAGGAAAGCTATGGGGACTTCAAGGGAGGTGGGTAGGGATGCTACTGAGGGGAGTGGGAGAAGAAAGGGCTACCGAATCATATTCTACCCCGTCACCGTGGTGCACACAGCCCGCCAGGCAGCTCGGACCCTCACAGAGCGTGACTCCCTTATCAAGTAACTTCCATTTGCATGACTCCTGCTAAATCCTCCTCCAAGAAGTTGGGACAATTGTCCTCTTAGAATGTGACACTCAGAACTGTCATAGCTGAACTTCAGAAACCATCCACTCAAGGGCTCTCTGAATTTTATTTCAGCAGCAGAAGCTCCCTCGTAGAAATAAAACTTCATGCAAAAACAGACTCACCCTGAACTGTTCTGCTTGAATCAGCTCCATGAATCCCTTTGGAGACGCCAGTCTAATCCAACGCCTCGTTTTGAGAAAGGAAACTGAAGCCCAGAGAGGTCAGCCTGTGTTCTCACTCTCCGTCACAACCGCCTTCAGGCGCCTGGTCCCCTCCGCTGAGCATCTGCTTCAGTACCTCGTGGGTGGGGCCCGGCACATGTAATCTTTAAAATGTTTCATAGGTGATGACGACCTGGAGTCAGGTTTAGGAACTGCTGGATTAAGCACTGCTTGAAAGTGAAGAGTAAATTGGTAGCTGGGCCCAGCTGCTTGAGAATGATATCCAAGAAGCTATTGGAATTCATTTCCGGTACTGAGGTCTGCTTATACTGAACTTGATGCCACTGACTGAGATTTTAGCATGTTCTGGGTGAAAGGATAATTCTTCACAATCTTTGGCAGTCTTTCAAACTAGGTGAGTCCCCCCTGAACCACTCGGCTCCTATCTACCTCTGTTAAGAGTGTGACTCCAGTCAGTTCCATAGATATGACAAGGGGATGAAATTATTTCATCATGGAGCTGAAATACCAGTGTGAAATAGAGCACCCAGCCACACCTAGCAGTTTTGCCTGAATCAATGGATCTTGCCACCAGCTCAAGGCCCGAACAGGAACGGGACGAGGTGGCCTTGTGTTGCCCGGCTGCCACCTGGTTATGATGTTAGCTCTCCAACAGTTTTATTCGTGGTCCCAAAAGTGTCATTTAACACAATAAAAAGGTCAGGATCTTAGTCGTCTCCATCGAAGTCCCAAACATTGAACAGCTTGTCCAATGAATGTCACATTTATTTCCCTTCAGGTCAATTTCTTCCTTTCCCAGGGCCTGGTTTTCCATCAGCAGCTGCATCTGGATGAAGTGGGGCTGAGGGAGCGGGCCCCACTGCCGGCTCTCTGGAGCATTCCTTGGGAAAACAGAATGAGAGCACCGACCCCTGCATTGTCCCATAGAAACTTATAGGGAAAACCTGGTGAGAGGTCTGGGACATGCAGAGGAAACACCAGGCTAGGTAGGATGATCAAGAAGTTGAAACACATGGATCTCACTGTAGGTACAGCAAGCAAATGTGACTTAGCTGATTCCAGAATATTTCCTGGGTGCTGCTTCCTTGAGCATATAAACCCTTAGAAAATAGGATGGCTACAATTAAAAAGGCAGATATTATCAATAAATGTTGTCAAAGATGTTGAGAAACTGGAATCCTTACACACTGCTGACGGGAATGTAAAATGGTGCAGCCACTGTGAAAAGCAGTCGGCAGTTTCCCGAAAGGTAACACATAGAGTTACCATCTGACCAGCGATTCCACTCCTAGGGATATAGCCAAGAGAAAGACTAACCTATGGCCAGACAACATCTTGTGCGTGAATGTTCATAGTATTATTGACAAGAGCCAAACATGGAAACAACCCAGCTATCCATCGGGTGATGATTGGCTAAATAAAATAAAGGAACATTATCCAGCAATAAAAGAAATGAAACACCGATACATGCTACAGTGTGGATGAACCTTAAAAACATGTGAAGTGAAAGCAGTCGCAAAAGGCCGCATATTCTCTGATTCCATTGATATGAAATGTCCAGAACAGGCAAATGTATTTAGAGATAGAAAGTAGATTTTTGGTGACCTAGAACTGGGGAGTTGGGGTGAAATGGGGAGTGAGTGCTAATGGTTACGGGGTTCTTTTTGGTGGGATGAAAATATTCTAAAATTGATGGTGGTGAGGGTAGCACAACTTTGTAAATATACTAAAAACCACCGACTTGTACACTTTAAGTGGGTGACTCGCACGGTATGTGACTTATATCTCAATAAAGCTGGTATTAAAAAAAACCAACAAACCTTAGAAAAGTTCCTGTTATTTAGGTTCTGCTAAATAGAGGCGTTCTCTGGTAGACTTCCCCAGGGCTTAAAAGAAGGCACGTATCAACAGGAATTAGGGTCACTGTCACCTCTTACTTTTACCAGTAGCCTCACAAAAAACAATGGATCAACCCGTTAGCTCCAGAAAGAGCAAAATTAGCCAGAAGCCACAGCCAAAAAAGCAACAGCCCTGAGTGTACGTGTGCACACACGTGTGTGTAGGCAAGGCAGAATTCTTCTGAAGGCCAAGTTCAGCTCTGTGATATTATTTGGGGAGGTCACGTGTACATCTGCTTCTGGTTTGTATCTAATTTGAAAAAGCCGACACTGACTGTGTACTCTATTATTAGGCAGTTTTTTCAGTTCTGTGTCTCGGTGCTGCTCTACTCAATTTGTTCAGAGGATGAACTCACTTCTTGACAGATGAAGAACATCCCGCCCCGGGGTTCTGGCCCAGGAGGGGCAGGCTTCGGTCGTGCCAGCTTTTCCCCTTCTGCACCTCATGTGACCCGAGCCAGGCCACTACTGGGGAAGAGTTCTTACCCCCGGGGGAAGCTTCCTTCTCGACTGCTGGCCTCCTGCAGGTGGAGGAGATGCGGGGGTGACGAGGAAAGGGAAGGAGGCCCACTCTGGCTGGTCCCCTTCCAAGCAAGGCCCCGATGGAGGGGGCCTCCCAAAGGGAACAAAAGGGAGTGAGACAGGAGAGCACACGTTCTTCTTTTTCTAAACACAGGCTCGAGATGGACAAAGGGAAAGTTAAATTATGCTGCAATTTTGAAAGTCATCCACTGAAGATAAACTCTCCCTTCAAAGGAATTGCTCATCTTACTCCATCGTGGTACCTTGGGGTCTATCAGTATTCAAATTTATGAAGCAACGACATGCAGAATATATAGTACAAAGGGCCCATTTCATCACCCCATTCCTCAAGTTATCTGTTTTTGGCTAAGTCATGAGAAGTCCAGCAACTTAAAAACCAAAACAAAAACTAACAAGCGCGCACAAAGATGGAAAAAAGTCCTCGGTGGAAGTTACTAGGAGGCAGGCAGCTTCAGAAAGGAAAAAACACAATCTCTGACTAATATGAAGGAGACTCCAAATTGCTCTTGGCAACAATCTCTCAACCCCAGATTCCCCTCCCTCTATTCATCTCCACAGTTCCCAGCCAAAGGAAAATAAACTGAACAGCTCTCTCCCTGGCCCAACCTGTAGGGCTGCACGGCTGAGCAAGTGCTGAGCAAACGGACATCCCCACGAAATTATCTACCTGTGCAATCGCTGTATACACGGGGCAGCCAGGCGGGGGCTCACCGCTCTCATCAGGCCGATCATCTCAACATTAGGAGAAAAATGCCTTTATTCTGTCACCACGACATCAAAATGGAATACAACGTGATCTTGTGACCTCAAAGCCAAGAGATTTAAAAAAAAAAAAAGAAAAGAAAGAAAAGAAAAAAAAAGAAACAAAGAAGAAAGGAAGAGGAAAATCGTCCTCCCCAGAAGAGTTGGTGTCAGTTCTGAAGAAGTAAGCCCGCAGAACATCCCTCAGATGGGCTTAGCTTCAAGGCTAGATTTATCAGTTCACCTTCCTCACAAAAGTGAGAGTTAATTTTAGAGGCAGTTATCTTACACCTATTATACCATTCAAGATGGAAGGAGAGTTAACAGGCCAAATGTCCTGAAATATTTATGGCCGCTCTGTGTCAAAGATTCATCTGACACCGTTTTATTAGGACAGATATGTCTGTTCAGCTAAAGCAGAGATGGACAGGAGCATCGGGGAATGGCATTGTGAGTGGAGATATAGCGGATGGAACACCATCTTTTCAGTTGAGTCCTGAAACACCCTGGCAGGCGGGGGTGAGCTGCTCTGAGAGCTATGGACAGTCAGGAGACCTGGGTTCTAGTGCTGGCTTCACTACCAAGTCCTGTAAACACGGACCAGCTTCCCCAACGGTAGGATGAGGGGCTTGGAGCTGCAGCTCCGGCCCTGAGAGTATGGAAGGTGCCATTGCAGCCGCTGAGGAACGAGGGTGGGGGCCGGGAGTGATGCTCTTGGGGCAGCTCTCAGCCTGGCTGGCACTGCTGCAGAGAGGCACCAGTCCTCCTAGAGGCTGCATGGGATCTTGTCCTCTCCAGTTTCGATGCCCCAAACTAAAGGTTCATCTTAGAATCCATGGCTGTAAGCCAGTAATCTGAACAGCAGGGGCTGAAACAGCTTCCTAGGCACTATGTGCACTCCAGGGACCAGTCCTCATGACTGCAGCATGGGGACACTCACCATTCCAACTGCCCACCCCTCATCTTCTCCCAGCCCCCCTGCTGCCTCTCCTCCTTCACGGCCATGCTTCTGTAGCACCTTCCCACACACTGTCTCATTTCATTCACTCGATAGTCACTGAAGGATGTACTGTTACAATTACTATTCCCATTGACAGAGGCCAGGGACCAGGTCAGAGTTCACTTACTAATGTATGCCAACACTCGGCACGGTGCTTGGAATCACACATTAGACAATATGACAGTTGTCGAATAAATGATTGACTGATTGAATGGAAAGAAACTCAGGTTCAAGAAGGTTAACATTGGATGTAACACATACTATTTTGTACAATAATTATACCAGAGTGATGGAGTCCTGTCTCCTCAACTAAAATGAAACATTCTAAAAGATGGGTGGTATAATGGGTAGCTTGGATTCCTGGTTCTGTCGCTAAGTAGCTGGGCAGCTTACTTAACCCCTTTGAGCTTCAGTTTCCTCATCTGCAAAGGGGAGCTAATGATTCATATCCGATGGGTTGTGTGGGTTAGAGGAGATAAAGTATGCCAAGCACACTACCTGGCACATGGTAGATGGTCTCTGAATGTCCCATCCCTCTCTTCCCTGCCCGTACCCTCTTTGGCTTATCTCCCACAGCTGACATGGCAGGATAAGACTCGAGTTCTATGACCTTCAGGCCTTTGCTCTTTTGGTCTTCCTCCCTCAGGGTCCTGCCCCAAAGCCTCCTCTTATTTTAAGCCTTTGTAGACCTTTGGCTGCTAAAGTGCCTCTTCTCAGATCCCAAAATGGCTCTCCCAGTTGTCTCTCAAGGAAAAGTTGATTCAGGGAAGGGCCCAGCGTGTAGCTTGTGACTCTTTTGACTTGTTAGAAGAGATCTGGAGATCTATCCAGAGGAGGTCCCTGAACCCTTCTAATTCCTAGGATTTAACTGGGTGATGGAGTGGAGCTGAAACTTGAACCTGGCAGGACCTTTGCCCTTCCTATCCCTCCCCTTCCACAAAAACTTCTATGACTGGAGAAAACTGCCTGATTGTTTCAACCACTTCCTTTACTTGTTCATATTCCTGCATTTGGAGGGATTGTAAGGGGTACGCCACCCGTCGCCCAATGAATCGCGGGAATGAGGCTGCCTCCTGTGCAGAGCCCAGTACCAGAGGTTAAAAGAAAAAGGGCAGCCGTCCCCGGCCCACCGTCCACAGCCGGGACAACAGAAGCCAGAAACCAGCACGACCAAACCCGACGACCCACGGAGCCCTGACCACAAACAGGAAGAAAACTGCACCCGCTCGACCCTCAGCGCCGGCGTGTGTGTGTGTGTGGGGGGATGTGTGTGTGCAGGCTCTTTCCTGAGTCCCTCCCAGGCCAGCCCGCGGCCGCTGCGGGTACCCTGCTGCAGGGAACCCGGCGGTCGCGAGGGCGACGCGGGTTGGGGCGCGCGGAGCTGGCCCGTCCCACCCGGACCCGGCCGCCTCTGGAGCTCCGGGACCCGGGCTTGGCTCCACCGCCCACCCACGCCCAGGTCAGGGCACAGGGAAGGGTCCCCACCCACCCGGTTCTGCTGGCGATTCTGCCCGGGACGGCGACGGGATTCCCTCCGGCTCGCCCAGCGACTTGTGCCAATCCCCCTTTCATTCCTGCCCCTGTCCTGACTTCTGCCAGGAGTTACCTTGGCTTTCTCCCTGCCCCTGCCCCCAAGTTTTGCATCTGACATAGGGGGGGGCAAGCTTTTTTGGGGGGAGGGTCTTGAAACTAACAATGTCTATCGACCACTACCTTCCAGAGTGCCCCTCGCACTCTCCGCTGTCCCCTTTCTGCCACTCCAAAACCTGACGCGAGGGCCGCGGGCGCTGAGAACGCGAGCAAAGTTGCTGTATTCCGAGTCCCCGATTCTTTCCTGCGCTGCGCTGGGAGGTAGGCGGCCGCGCGCCCCTGCATTACCGCGGGGGCCCTAGCCCCGCTTTCCCCAGCACGCTCGTTTCCAGCCCAGGCGCGGCTTTGAAATTCCTCGCGGACGCCGCCACTCACGCCCGGCGAGGGCCAGTCCGAGCCGCCACCCGGGCCAGGCGTCCCCGCAGTGCCCGGAGAGGGGATGCAACCGCTGGGCGCCTCCTCCCCACCCCCGCCTCCACGGCCGCCTGCCCGGAGCCCCGAGCCCATCCCAGCCCGCTCCGGCCGAGGCCGCCGCAGACCCACCTGGCCGCCCCGGGGACGCCGCTCGTGCCTGGGTCGTGTCCTGAGCGCCGCCAGGGTCCCGGGCTGGGAATCCACGCGGCAGCGCAGCTCAGGGGAGCCTGCCGCAGCCGGCGGGAGGTTGTCATTGATTCGTGCTGGGCGAGTTAAGCCATTCCAGGAGTGGTTTTGAGAGAGCACTCCCACCCCTCCCTCCAACCAGAAGTATTTGGCAGGCAGCCCCTTTTTGTCCACCTGTACTGTTCAGCGCGGGACAAGGACCAATTTCACTAGCCGCGCTTTACGCCTCACTTTCTAATACGAAAAGTAAGCCCCTTCGTAAAGGTAAAGCAGAAATGAAAGCAAGGGTAGTGGAGGAGCTTTTCCCCCACTTTTCTCCTGGATCTCTCGTTTGTTTATTTTTTCTCTAACATTTCACAAAATGCCTTACCATTTATGTCAAATCAGGGATGGCTTTTCATTGTTATTGTTTTTTTCTCCAATTCTGCATGTCTTTTATTTTTAGAGGCAATTTTATTTCCATTTGCCTGAAACCTGAGCCCAATAAAATTACTAGAATTATATGTTTTCTCTTTAAAGGGTCGTGAGTGTAACTTATCAAATAAAACACTGCACAGCAAGCATTCAAGTGGCAAACGAAAAGGAGGGAAGTGCAGGAAGTAAGCACAGAACCGTGGCTCCCTCCACGGGGTTGCCCAGGGAACTTGGCCCAGAGGGAGTCCTGAAGCCTGAAGTGGGAGCACCTACTGCCCTATTCTCCCCAACGACAAACACAGTATCACCAGGCTGTCCCTGGCTTTGTCGCCATTCTAAGACTGACTCAGAAATGCCAACCGGAGACCCAACAGTCCACATTTGGGGTGGGCCAGCCACCCATCCCAGAGAGGTGTGGCGGAGCGCCCTTGCCCAAGCTGTTCCCTGAGACCACACACCACGCCCACAGGAGCTCGGAGGCTCCTGCTGCTGTCAGACCTTTTACCCAGAACTGCCCTTCACCTGGCGGGAACCTTCACTAACTCCTGGGTACCTAGGCTGGTGCTTCTCAGAAAGGGGGGAGGAGCCAGGGAGGGAGGGTCCTTCTTCCCCGGAGACCAGCTGCCTGGTGTGTGACGGAGACTCAGCTCAAAACAAATGAGACCAATGAGAGACCTGGCCCTCCATGGCCTCTGCCACTCTTCACCGGCAGGCCACAAACATTAAAGCATCCCAGGACCAGAGGTAAATCCCAGAGGCCCATCAGTCTATGAAGGCCCAGGATGGGGCTGAGGTTGGCAGAACCCCAGGAAGATGGTTCAGACTTCAATTCATCTCTTCCAGCAGGTGCCCCCTGCCTGAAATCCCAGTGTTAGTGATTCATTCCTTTGTGGGGCACGCCCTGCACAGAGCCTGCGCCAGGCAGGCAGATTTGCTTCAGGAAGGCAGGAAGGGTCTCCTTCTGTAGTTCTAAAACTGAAAAATACCCATGGGTCAGGGGCAAGAGTCTCCACAAGGGGCTGGAAGGAGTTTGTCAGACCTTCTTGTAATGGTGGGAGGGTCACTGATGGCAGCGCGTGGGGGTGGAGAGGCTCAGAGCTAGGGAGGGGTGGGGAGGGGAGGGGAGGGGAGGGGAGAGGAGGGGAAGGGAGGGGAGGGGGTGCTAAATCAGGGAATCAGGCACTGAAGGTCAGAAGGGAAGGTGCTTAATCAGGGTTGGTGGACAGCTTCCAAGATTGGATGACTCCATATAGCTTTTTATCAAAAACCATGTACTCCCGGAACGCCCAAGCCAAAGAATGAAAAGTTAAATCCCTGTGTCCACAAAGGCACTAATTAAATATCCACTCAGGCATAACTCCATACTCCACTCCTAGAACCAGTAGGTAAAGGTGCCAGCGCATGACCTGGATGGAATCAGCATCAATCCAGAAGTGTTTGTTGTGCACCCAGAAGTTGAGGTTTGCCACAGCGGCCTGGGTGGAGGTGGGGTGGGGTGGGTGCAGTGGGGTGTCGCCCTCCCCTCGAAGCCTCACGTCTGTGGGGAGATAAAGCACAGGGGACCAGTCAGCGTGGGGCGGGGTACCTAGAGCACTATCCGGGGTCCATTAGGAACAGGGCGCTGATTCTGCAGAGCAGACAAGGAACCCAGGGCAGTCATGAGGATAGGACTCATCTGGAGAGCGCTCCAGGAACTGGTCCAGGCGGACCTGGAAGTCTGTGCTGCTGTGAGCAGGAGGGCATGTCAGGTGGGTGGAGTGAAGGCTGGGGGAGGGGGCAGCTGGCCTGGTTTAGAGGGTTCTCCCAGTGGATAAAGCATCAGGTTGGGGTCTACAAGAGAATCAGTTTATGGATACAGCTTCCAGCTAAAAGGAGAGAATACAGGGCTTCCCTGGTGGCGCAGTGGTTGAGAGTCCGCCTGTTGATGCAGGGGACACGCGTTCGTGCCCCGGTCCGGGAAGATCCCACATGCCGCAGAGCGGCTGGGCACCGTGAGCCATGGCCGCTGAGCCTGCGCGTCTGGAGCCTGTGCTCCACAACGGGAGAGGCCACAGCAGTGGGAGGCCGCGTACCGCAGAAAAAAGGAAAAGCATAGAGATAAGCGGAGAGAATACAGGGCAGGGCCTGCTTTGGAGGGAGGGAGGATTAGAGCACCTCTTTCAAACCCAGCTGGAGCTCGATGTGGGCAGAGGGAGTGGAGGAGGGAGGCTTAGGGAGGGGTGGGGGAGAGCTGTGCGCCCAGCCCAGCCTACCCCCAGGCGGTTCCTCCTAGCAGGGCTCCCGCCCCTGGACCTAAGGAGCGTCTGAGTAGGCCAGTGGGTGGTGCCAGGGGTGAGGATACTGCAGCCAAGAGCCTCAGGGGAAAGTTGGCCACGGTCCAGCCCACCGGCTGGGTACCGCAGTGGACAGTGGATGTCATTCCTCCCTCCCCCTTAATCACTGTGTGTGCATGCCCTGTTGGGACACACCCTTCGGAAGGGCTCTGGGCAAAAAGTGGGGAGCCCTGCCCCTCTGCCCCTCTGCCCCTCCAGCCTCACCTCCCTGTTCTCAGCCCCCATGCCAGCTGCCTTCTGGGAACAGGAACATAAAGGAGTCTTGGAGGGTGGGGTGGGGAGAGGGGGGTGGGAGAGGCTCCCAGAGCCACACAGAAGGGGCTCAGGGCGGGCCAGACTCCAGATCTGTTACTGTGCATTTCCTTTGGGGGGGGTGGTTCCCTCCTAGGCCCTCTCTGGCCCCCTCCCCCTTACTCTCCCTCCTTCCCGCCCCACCCCCTTCCTGGGTCAGGTCGGTCAGAGCGCTTGGAAACAGGCTGGCTTACAGACGCCTGGCCTTCCACATCTCCCTCCAAACCACCACACGCCCTTGTTCCAGGGAGCATGAAAGCATCTGCTCCAACCACCAAGCGGCGGCTCGGAAGGCTAAACAGACGCGCAGGGAGCAGATCCGCTACCGCCAACTTGAAACGCTAGCGGTTGCCTGGTCATCAGCTGTGACACAGGCACGAAGACAGCTTCTGTACAAGCAGGCACACACACACAATGTGTATAGAGAGGTGGACACACAGATGGCCCGTGCAATCCGAAAGTAGTAATCACTCACATCTATTGAGAATCTACCCCTCATTTAATCCTTCAAGCACACCATGAGGTAGGTCCTTTTATTTTCTCCATTTTACTGATGAGGAAACTGGGGCCCAGAGAGGTCATATCGCTTGTTCAAGGTCACACAGCTTGATAAATCACAACCACTGGACACGATGCCTGGGTCTTTGGACTCTGCTGCCCAGAGGCTGAGCCCAGGGTTGGGCTCTGGCACTCTGTCTAGTTCCTATAACTGGTTCCCTAAGAAGCAGTTTGCTTTGCTAGTGTGTGCCTCAGTTTCCCCACCTGCTGAGCAGGCAGAATAATGACTCTTACTGAACTGAGAGGCTGTTATTAGGCAGGAGGAGGCTGAGATGGAGGTTAGACTGTGATAAAGCGCTAGAGCAAGTCTTCCCTAGAGGACACACATGGCACTGAGGTTGAGTGTTACTCAGGCTGGAAACTCAGAGTCGCCCTTGCTGCCTCCCTCTCCTTCCCGCCCCTCCCCCCGCCCCAGCCAAATCACCACTTGCAAGGCTCCAATCTCCAAGGTAGATCCCCAGTCTGCCCTCTACCTGCGTCCTCCACCACTGCCCTAGCCACCAACCCTCTCCTCTTGACTTGGGCGGGACCCCCTACTGGCCCCCTGTTCCCACTCCTGTCCTGCTTCCACCCAGTGCCACACAGCTGCCCCGGTAATCCTCAGACGTGCATCTGGCCATGTCGCAGGGCACTTAAAATGCAGTCCAAACTGTTCACTGTGGCCCACGAGGCACGGAGAATCCCTGCTTCTCTCCCCAGACTCACCCCTGCCTTCCGCCCCCATCCTCCAGTCACCAGCAGATACACCGAGTTCCTTTGCCTTCCTGTGGTGGGACCTTCCTTGGACTGACATGCCCTCCCCTTACCTAAGGTCTTGAAGAAGCGTCACCTCCTCAGAGAAGGCTTCCTTGACCACCACGGATAGAAAATCTGCCCCCCATTATCTATTTCTGACCCTTGATCGAAGCACTCATGCAGCTCGCTTACTTTTATTTAACAGCATGTTTACAATTAATTATGTCCCTCCCACCAGAACAGAGGCTGCTTGTGGGCCGGGGACCCTGTGTGTCTTTTTCACTGTGTGTACCTGGTACTCGGTAGCCTCCTGGCCAATATGTGGGGGAAAACGTTTGTAGAGAAAACCCTAGATCCAGGAGGACTGGATTTAGTCCTGGCTTGGCCACTGGCAGGCTGTGTGCCCCTGGGGATGTCACATGCCCTCCCACATTTCCATCCTCAGGAAAGGGGGACTATGGATGAGATGATGACCAGGCGGATGCTGTGCAGCCAGGCTAGTGCCGAGAAACAAACAAGAAGACAGTCCTGGCCGTAATGCACTTGAAAGGGCTTCGAGAAGGTTTTGCTCCTGTCGTCAGCCCTGATGATTTTTTATGTGA